ACAATGGTGACAACATCTAAATCTTGCATGAGGGTTTCTACACTTGTAAACCATTTACTTTTTACATTCTTGTTTACTAAGTAGGCTTCTCTTAGTAATGTGTTATCAGAGTTTGTTACTCGGTTGAAATATTTAAGTTGTTGTTTCTTGATAAAACAGTCAATGGGGTACCTTCCTAGCTCACCATAAACAGCCATTTTTGGTGTGAATTTTGAGAGACCAAGAATGAACCGACAAAATGAAAGATGGACATCCTCAATTGCAGACTTAGTTGTGCTTTCATCACCCCAAACATCACTACCATATACAATAATTGGTCTTATCAGTTTGTCAAATAAAGATAGTTGGAGGGGTATGTTTAGTGAGTTGTCATAACCGAGTTTGCATTTCAAAGCAAAGAGAGCTTTCATCTCTTTATTTTTTAAATTACAATATAACCCAGTTTATAATAACATTAAAACAAAGGAATAAATTAGATTGCACAGATTTCTGGTTTGCTGTCTGTGATTATCTCACAGCACCTATACAACAAATTTATTCTAAATCTGGTAATGTTTTTTGAAAATATTACAAAATTGTCTAATTTATGCAAATTTAGGTAATAACAGGATATTTTATAATATCAAAAATTGCCAGTTAGTTGTACATGCATATCCACAGTGGATTTCAATGAACTCTGTATGCTGGCATAATTGAGCTCCCATGATCGCATATGGTTAAACATGCATTTTGTATGAAGTCGTCAATATCGCATTTGATGCATATATGTGCAACATTGTTTGAGATATTATTTATGCATATTAATGACCATCAGATGTTATTCATAATTCTTGTCCAAAGCTTAATTATAGAATTGTTTGAACATGCTTATCTGTAATAGATATTAGAATTATGCATATTAATGGAGGTCACCTTATACATGCATATTCTTATCTCCTGTCACATGTCTTTATTACACAACACATAAAGAAGTGTTTGAGATATTAATATTCACAGATTGCAACAAAAAACTATTCAGGTCTAGATATTAACTCAGACCATCTATGCACCAAGTTTACATGAAAGTGTTAAATAAATAATGAAAATTAATATGCAAATTAGGACTTAATAAGGTCATCATTGAAATCTGTTGAACGGTAATTGAGAAACAAGTGAAAATGCTAAAAATGTTCTTATTAGTATGCACAGTAGGTAATTAGTATGCACAGATTGCAGGCAAAAACCAATGGAGCCTGCATATCGTTCCACAGCATTCATGTATCAAGTTTCATTGAAATTTGGTGATCAGTTCCAGAGATATAAAGGGAACAGACACACATACCCACACATGTACAACTAACAATGTATGTAATTCATGATTACTGAAATATTATGAAATAAATTGAGACTCAATAAAAAAAGTATTACGAAAAATGTAATTCTTTATTTACAATGAAAGCCACAACTTGTAAGCACCAAGCTGCAGAACAATAATGAGCTTCCAAAAGACAACACTTTTGGCAGTAATTGAAACATTACACTGTAATATTATAAAATACAATAAGATATCCATATTTTACACGGAGAAGAAAAGACAAAGTAAAACCTGTGAAGCAGTAAATGACAAAGAAAATTTGATTTAATAAGCTCTATTTGATTCATAGTCAGTTACCAAGACAATGTATGTTTTATTCTACATAGAAATTAATGATTTGTTGTATATAATCTTGTAGTTGGTTAACAATATTATAAAGATACAAAAATGTTGGATTATTTGTTAACTGGACTATGAGAAATATGAATTTTCAGTTTGTAAAGTTGCACTTTAACATAATACTAGTTCAATTGTTGTTTTTGGGACATATCTGGCATGAATTGCTTCCACAAATTACAATAATTGTAATCTCAATCTCAATCAATCTCAATCTCAACAAAAGCATCCTTGAACATAGTGGGTGTTTGGGAAGGCAAACACATGAACACAAATGAGCAAAATTGAAGCTGTATTGAAAACAAAAAGACATTTGTCCTATAAGCTTTGTGAATAAGTACAACATCACTTTTGAACAACAACCAGTTCTTTCACATATTCCTTCAATTAAATTATTAGAAATGTATGTTTGTCATTCAATTTAATGATTTTTCACAAACTGTGTTTGTGCAAGATTATCATCGCATATCACACTACTTTGCAAATCCTGGATGTCACAAAATATACCAGGTTAAGTCAGTTATAAAATAACTTAAAACACAGACAGTTGCACAATAATGCAGGCTGTTTTATGCGCACACACTTCACCTGCCGAGCTATTTCAATTGCTTCATTTGGATTTAAATGAGACTCATTTCAAATGACAGTTTATAAACATACTTTACTTGACTGTAGTCCCAGAACAACAATAAATGTATCCTCAGAGTGCAACTTTTAACTAATATTAACAATTTGTTTTGTTTTTTATTCAATTATTATATAACAGTTGATTATTTTAGGTGACCACAATGCATTGCAAAACAATAGTTACCATGATGTATTGCAAAACAATAAAAGTGACCCACAATGTATTGCAAAACAAAAAAAGGTGACCCATAATCCATTGCAAAACAATAATTACCACAATGCTTCGCAAAACAATAGTTACCACAATGTATTGCAAAACAATAAAGGTGACCCACAATACATTGCAAATCAATAGTTACCACAATCCATTGCAAAACAACAGTTACCACATTGCATTGAAAAAAATACCACTATATATATATATTCAATATATAACCATAACATAATAATGAAGTAAATTTCTTACTGCATCAGTTGCACAAGACTGAACACTAGGACACATATATAGAGGGCTATACATACCAGCAATTCATTAGTTACAGTTTCACTCCTTGCATAAGCCACTTTTTTTTTTTATAGAATATAGAAATATGTGATTTTTTTTATTCTCACACATCAATGAAGCTGTACAAAATACAATTTTGAATATTTTGGTATCTGTACCAACATATCAGAGGCAGACAACATACAAGCATGTCTATTCAACTTGTGAGAAACTGAGACAAACAAGCTCACAAGCAAACCCACTTTCCTGGTGCAAACAGTAACATAGCAACCAGAAAACATTCCTAAATACCTCAAAGCTTGTCCACTGACATTAAACAAAACTAACATGATGTTGTTAAAAACCACAGCATGTTAGTCATAGCAATAGGTACGATATTATGATTATAATAAGCCAATAAGTTGATTTTATACAAAATAATTAATAATTAGTTACTTCCAATCAGTGTTAAACATTGCACTTCAATAGTGTAGTGATATTCAAACCATGACGAGATGTTGCCATGGTGACAGAAATTTCATGACAACCATGTCAACAATGTTGAAATGGTTTATAAATTAAATGCATGATAAGTTAGATTGGCACAAAACGCAGATTAAAATAAGTATACTCGCCTTACAAGAACACTATAACCCCATTACTCAATAAATAGAAAGTACCAGCTCCCTAACTCCATGCATATATCTTTCATGTTAGGTTCCCCTAGCTTACTGGCTACAGAAATAAAAGCCAACAATGATGGGTATCAGTTGATGGCATAGTAGTGCATGGAATGAAAGGACAACTGTATCATTTGATTATGTAAATGAGTTGAAGTTAAAGGTTATCAACAACAGACATGTCATGGTATCTACGAGCTTTTCATGTAATTTTATAACTTATGAAACTTAAAGAGCCAATAATTTTTTCTACTAAATAACATTATTTTACAAAACTTGATAAATAATTTTAATAATATAAGGTTATTACGAAGATACCTTAAAGTATGCACGAAGACAGTACAGCGGCAGTATCGACCGACGCGCAGTGGAGGTTGATGCGACAGCATACTGTCTGAGTGCATACTTTGAGGTATCTTCGTAATAACCTTTTTATTTTATATCTTTTCCTACCATGGATACATCATGGGAATGCCCAAATCTAAAAAGTTTAGAACAGAATCAGTGAACTTTTTTGTATGGAGTTCGGTTAAACCCTGGTGGCAGCCATGTTTGTTTTCGCTTTCGCGGGTAATCATTCCATATTTGGAATTTGCATTTCCTAATATGGTAGAATGAAAATACCCTGTAAAATTCCGCAAAATTACGGCATGCAGTAACTTATGGCGTTACGTTGACAGATGTATAATATTTAAGAAATGGAGTGTAGGTATTTTTTATTAAAATTCTAAAACATAGATTTAATTATTCCTAAGTTTCTACTTTTTCTTCATGACCATAGATCATTATTTCGAGATAGTTAAGATAGATCTTTCGGTATTTTAATAAAAATGACCTACACTTGATAATATATTGATTCAAAAAGTAAGTAGTCTACCACATAATATGGTGTGGATTATTGTAAATTTTCTAAGGACCTTATGACTTGACCTATTAAAGCTACATACGAATACACTTCTTCTAATGATTGAAGACAAAAACAACAAACATTGGATGTTAGCTTGCAGACAAGATATGTGTACATTATATCTCGCTATTTAGACACAGAATAAAATAACTTGAATAATAAATATTATATTATATACAAAATGTTTCATATAGTGTAATAGTACTTGCTCAATACTGTTGAAGGGATAAAAAAAAAATGTTATGAAAATAGATGTTAAAAAATCTATAAAAAAAAATATGTGCAAGTCACCTGTCAGTTAATTTAATGATAAATGGATCAGAAATCATGTCAAGGATCAGATTAAAAATGAAACTGTTGATATCAATCCTGTGATATATACTAGCAATATTAAATTTCCAATCATGAACCTCTACATACAAGTCAGAAAAATTCCTTCCTATTGGCTATTAAGTATAAATATATTTGTATTATGTGTTTTATAGCCAATCAAAACAAGGCTATCACGAATTGGGAGGAATGGAAGAATTTATCAAATATTCGATGTCTGTAAAAGTTCTACAAGTCTACCATGGCTGTGCATGGAAATCATGTTATGTTGTAATATGCAGATTATTTGAAATTAGCATAGGCTTCAAAAGAGTCTAGAAACTCCAACACAGCATCATAGCAGAAATTGTACTGGTCCTGTAAGAAAAACAAATGAGATATGGTAAATAACAGGTATATGCATGACACATCCTGACATCCTGGTACTTTCGGGGGTACAATTCATCATACATACAAATTTCTCAATTATTTCCCCCAGCCAAAATGCCTGCAGTGACGTTCATAAATAGTTAGCATAGTAAATATTGGATATGGTAATGGTAAGTCTAGAGAGGGTAGTCAGCTATTTAGCTATTAGAAGACTGATTGTACAGCCTGGGATCTAGCCATTCTGTGTGACCAAAAGATGGCCTTGTGAATCACGACTATCTATAAACAGCATAGTTAGCACTGATTGGCAATCTCTGACTTCAGACATTACCATGGGAACATGCATACTCAGACTGACCATGGAGGTAAAAAAAAATTTACCTCCATGGACTGACAAATAGGGAAGGCCCGTCCACAACAATTATTCACAATTCTATTATATTTGTAGATTTTTTCATTATCTCATTATTATAGACATATAATCTTTTGCTATAGGAATGGTCAGCAGATAATAGACAAGCAGCCTATCAGCTGAGATAGCTCCGCTGTTAGCAATGCACATTTCAATTAAAGAACTGAAGATATCATTAGAAAATGAATATGTAAAGTAGTCGAAAATATCACTTTTTACCAAAAATGACAAAAATATTCACCAAAATTAAAGAATTGAAGATATCATTACAAAAGAAACAAATCTGAGAGAGGTCCACATGTAGTACCTATATATGTAATATCAAAGCAATTGCACTTGCGGTTTTTAACAAGAAGTCGAAAATATCACTTTTAACCAAAAATGACAAAAATATTCACCAAAATTAGAGAATTGAAGATATCATCACGAAATGAACAAATCTGAGAGAGGTCCACATGTAGTACCTATATATGTAGTATCAAAGCAATTGGACTTGTGGTTTTTAACAAATAGTCGAAAATATCACTTTTTACCAAAAATGACAAAAATATTCACCAAAATTAGGGAATTGATGATATCAACATGAAATGAACAAACCTAAGAGAGGTCTACCCAAGGTACATATACACTAAGTATCAAAGTATTCAGCCTTGTAGTTTTTAAGAAGAAGTCGAAAAAGTAAAACACTGACACGGACGACGACGGACAATCACTCATATGATAAGCTCCGCTTGACAAAGTCGACAGCGGAGCTAATAAAAGATTGTGAACTAACAGATTCCACACAGTCGTTTCTCGTATAGTAAGACTCACCAAATTTTGCACCATATTAGGTCGATTTATTCGAAGTTTTTTGACGGCCTGGAAGACATCTACAACCTGTTCAACTTTAATCCGTTCTATCACAGCATAGAGGGCACAGAATGTACCGCTCCTACCAAGACCATTCCTGTGAAGCAACAAAGACATTACAACATTATGTAATACAATACAGGTCAATGAACACAATAGGATTTGTCATTTGGTAAAAAAGCATTCCAAAATGTATCAGCACATTTTAATACTTTTTTTTGTTTACGCTGTAGTACCCAACAGAACCATGCTGCTGAATGCAAACATTTGCACAGCGCAAAACGTTTCTTGTTGTCATTTTAAGCAATATTCTCTAATTAAATTATTACTAGAAGCAGGAAAAAGATGTATAATAATAAGGTTATAACGAGGATACTGCAAAGTATGCACCCAGGCAGTATGGGTTGCATTGTCTCCCGTTACGCGTTGATAGGCTAAGGCAGTATGGGTTGTATCATCTTCTGCTATGCGTTGGTAGGCTCAGGCAGTATGGGTTGTATTGTCTTTCGTGATGCGTTGGTAGGCTCAGGCAGTATGGGTTGCATTGTCTTCCGCGATGTGTTGGTAGGCTCAGGCAGTATGGGTTGTATTGTCTTTCGCTACGCGTTGGTAGGCTCAGGCAGTATGGGTTGCATAGTCTTCCGCTATGTGTCTGTAGGCTCAGGCAGTATGGGTTGTATAGTCTTTCGCTATGTGTCTGTAGGCTCAGGCAGTATGGGTTGTATAGTCTTCCGCTACGTGTTAGTAGACTCGAGCAGTATGGTTTGCATAGTCTTCTGCTATGTGTCTGTAGGCTCAGACAGTATGGGTTGTATAGTCTTCCGCTACGTGTTAGTAGACTCGAGCAGTATGGGTTGTATCGTCTTCTGCTACGCGTTGGTAGGCTCAGACAGTATGGGTTGTATCGTCATCCACTATGTGATCACCATACTGCTTTTGTGCAACTTTGCAGTATCATCATGATAACCTCATACTATTGTCCCCCACATGCTTTTTACCGTACCTGGTTCCATTTTGTACCAAACACATTGACTCTGTTTTGGAAGCATCCAGGACACAGACAATATGTTTTTAAAATATAAAATACATATTTTTTCATCATATCGCAGGTCAAAGTATGCAAGAAGCAAATTGTATACAAGACACTTACAGGCAATGAACTGTGATTGGACCATTACCAGTTTTTTGCTGCCATTTTTCCACCAATGAAACAAGATCCATAACGGCAGGTTTTGACTGAGGGACTTCATGACCTAGGGGCCAACACGTCAAGAAAAACTGCTGCACAGTACGGATATTGTCACCTTCCTGCAACAAACAATATTTTTAGTAATAAGATACAAATGGATGGTAGAAAGTACTGGATTGGCTTTCTATTCTTGGGCTTACATTTGCACTGCCTGGCAACCA